TCATCAATGCTTACCTGGGCACTATGGAAATCCATCTCTCGGTAGCGAACTTGGTCAATGTCATCCATGCGCTTGTCCAACGATTGAAAACAGTCATTCTGCTCAATGTAGTCTAACGCAGCTTATTGTTGGTGGTGCCGCAGCGTACGGTAAAGACGCGTACGTTTGCACGGCTTGTGAAAATGGTTATGATGGCAATAAATGCGAAATGTAAATATTTTTGATAATTTCTAAAATTTGATATGAAAATTTCTTATTGCTAAGTGTTTGTTTATTCAAACTTAATTCTATGAGATTTTTTTTTTTTAAAAAGCGGTTTAATTAATTAATAATCGTTTAGTTTTTTAATATAAATATGAAGAAATGAATTGGATTTTACAGTTGTGCGGATGGTTTCTTCGGGAATCCGTTAGCAATGAATGGTACTTGTGAGGTATGTAATTGTAGCGGTAACATTGATCCAATGACTATTGGAAATTGTGATCGAGAAACGGGAAAATGTTTGAAATGCATTTACAATACAGCTGGTGATCATTGCGAAGAATGCAAGGAGAATCATTGGGGTAATCCGAAGGATAAATCATGTCGACCTTGCGGATGTCATCCTAAAGGCTCCTATTCTGCCACATGCAATAAATCAACTGGCATTTGTAATTGTCATGAAAATTATGTTGGAATGCAATGCAATCGATGTAAGGTAAATATTACAGGAATAAACTTGTAAAAATTAAAAATTAAAAAAGAAAAATTTCTTGAGAAAATCAAGAGTTATTGTTCAGGATGGACATGGCGATATTGAAAATATGTGCCCTGCTTGTAACTGCAACATGACCGGTTCTTTTAATAGTCAATGTGATGAAGTATCTGGCCAAGTTTGTTTTCTTCCTTTTTTTTAAAAAAAAAATTTTAGAAAAAGTATATGAAACAAAAATTCTACCTGTTTTCATTTTTCTTATCCATTTTCAATTCAAAGAGCAATAGTGAATAGTGATTAAGTATTTAGAATTAAATTTTCATTTCAAATAGCAGAAAAGATATTCTATCCATTGTTGACGAATTTAATCTGAATACTGTTTAGCTAGGAAATATAGAATCACAATCAGAATATAGAGTGGGAATATAGAATAATCACAACCCGAACTGGAAACTTTCAAGCTAATTAAGAAAACATCGTAATGTGCTACGCATCTTGGAATATTAATAATTTGATCAATAAATGACTTGAAAATTATTAAATAAATTGAATGAAATAATTTTATAGCTTTGTATTCAAAGTTTTTTCTAAAAGATCAATTTGCTCTCAATGTACATTAAGTAGGATAGAAAATATCAGTAAGCTTGCAAAAAATTTTAATAATGCTTCATTTGCGCTTCATGTAAGCATATGTAGCATTGACTGGAATTTTTCAGTGTGCCTGTAAGACAGGTGTATTTGGCAAACAATGTGATATGTGTAGAGCAAGTTATTTCAATTTTTCCGAGAGTGGTTGTCAATTTTGTCACTGTAATTCATATGGTGCGGTGGATGATGGCCGATGTGATAATGTAACCGGAAAATGTGAATGTCGCCAAAATGTTGGAGGAAAAATGTGCGAAAAATGTGTAGATGGTTATTATAATATA